TTTATAGAAAAATAGTGTCAGTAATATTGTTCCAGTTTAATGATTCTAGATTTAATCCTGATAATTTCACAGTGTGTGAAACATCTTAAACATGGTGGTGTATGAATGTTAGCCAAATATTTTATTAATTTTAAGTGCTCATTTCAGTTAGGATAATTTATGTATATTACTAAAATATTTTGTATCCTTCTACGGTAAGTTACTTCTAATTTTTTATTTCCAAATGTTTTATAATAGTGATACCTTTTTAAAATATGATGCTGACAGCAGCATTGTTCTTAATTCTGTAAGTTTAGCTATATAAATATCTTTTCATGCTTCAAATTTATGTAGTGAAGACTGGCAAATGTCTGGGTCAGGATCTGTCTCTGGAACTGCTTCAGATTCTGATTTGGAGGAAAGCAGAAATAAAAGTACATGCGACGAGAGTGAATCTGACTATGAGCCAAAAAACAAAGTAAAGAGCAGGAAGCCTCCAAGCAGGTATGGCACAACTATTTTAGAATGTAAAAATGTTTTCAGATGAAATGATGTTTTCCCTCTTTTTGCCATTGCATAGTCCAGACAGTGGGTGCACTTTGCATACTCTAGAAGGCATTGGGCTCTTTAGAAGAAAGGCTTGGCTGGGGAAAAACTGGAAGGAAAGGGATCCTGTTTTTTCCACAGATCCAACATTTCTCTGGCTACCACTGTCAGCAGTCACCAGTTCAGTGTCTGGTCTGCTTGCCTGGTTTAGGCCAGGGTTTGTCTTTGTCTGCAAGCTACACTGAAGCCCCTCAGGAGACTTCTTAGGCTTTGAGCTGTGGGATGTAAGCTTGTTAAATAAATATAGAAACCTACTGAACTGGCCTGTTTTCATGAGGATAGGGTAATGCTGTGACTCATCCTTGTTATATTCCCAAGGTTAATTCATGGTTCTGTATTGATCCTACTGACTATATGTCATAAACGGATTTTCTCCAAAGAGAGAACATATACACAGGTATAATACTAGAGCCCTTAGAACTTATTTCTGTAGAGTACAACCCTTCTAGCAATTTTATTTCCTGTTGGTGGCATATTAAATTTCTTAAAGGTAGGAAACAGCTAAAACGTTGCCTGCTTGAATGCCTCACAGTATATATATTGTAGAGTACTACAGAGCTAGCGAGATCCTTGCTCATTCTCTTAAAAGGATCCACCTTCCTCAAATGATTTCCTGGTCATTCAGTCTAAAGTCATCAGTGATGAATTTGCAGCCGCCGGGTTTTGGTTCTGTAGAAACAGCCTTTAATAGGCAACATTATTAATTTTTTTTTTTGTATTCTTAATGCTTAAGAATAAAACAAAAAAGTGGCAAAAAAAGCACTGGGCAGAAGAAAAGGCAACTTGAATCATCAGATGATGACGACGACGATTATGATAAAAGAGGATCTCGCCGCCAGGCAACAGTAAATGTTAGTTACAAGGAAGCTGAAGAAGCAAAGACAGATTCAGATGATTTGCTGGAAGTCTGTGGAGAGGATGTCCCCCAACCTGAAGAAGATGAGTTTGAAACAATAGAAAAATTTATGGATAGCCGTATTGGACGAAAAGGAGGTACACCTTATTTAGATTTATGAAATTTAATCAAAATACAAGAATTTAAAAAATGTGACTAGAAATACTAGTAGGAAATGAATGGAAAAAGGAAGACCCTCAACATTTTGATTAGGATCTTTAGTTGTCTAAAGTTTGCAAGACTTGCATCCTTAAACTGACGCCAGCGACATTAATGGACTATATCTGCACTCAGGTATCACAACAAGTTGACATTATACTAGAACAGAATTGGCTTGTTGGGCTCATTGTTGAGGTCACTTTTCAAATAGAGAATCCTGGGTAGATACTAATTCTCGTTATCCATGATTTATGAATTCAGGTATACAGATGAACTGTGGTTTTCTCCGTACAAATTTAAGATTTTAAACCTGGATTAAACCTTGGTTTAAAATTCTGTTTTGAGAGAGGAGGCATACCTCCATTTGTACAGTTTGGGTAATCAGAGCTAGTTTTAACTGAATTTTATGTGTGAAAGAAGGAACGCCCAGCTGATCAGTAAACTTAATGTCAGATTATTGTAACTTCTGAATGTAGCCTGGCCATTAATATTTCTAGGTTTTAATGCTCAAATTTGCATATTAAATTAAAGATACAGGTAGCTTAATGGTCTAAAACCAAGCTTCATTTCTCTGAATCTGGTATAGTGATCAAATGTATCATTCTTTTAAATATATTTTGAAGGGTTTGTTCTGCTGTTTTAACTACTGTGCTCCTCTTCATTGATGCACATTCTGTAGCTTTCTTGAATATTTAATAAAACAATACAGACTTTAGGTTACACTAAACTTTTAAATGACACAGTAATAGAGAATTCTAGCGCTACTTCATCAAGTGTTTCAAAAGTTTGCATCTTCTGGAAACAATTTAGCTTGTCCCCTTGAGAAGCTTTAGGCTGGAAGTATAGGATAGAAACCCTGTAAATAGATGTCAGTGTGATGTTTGTCTATACAAGAAGGAAACACACTTGATGCCCAGATTTGAGGAACTGCTGATCCCCACGTGTGGGATTGCTAGAGCTATCAGTGGCTATTAGATAGGTGTGTAGATTGATGTAGTATTGTAGCTGATGCTTTTGCTGTGCTGTCCTCTTCAGCTACAGGTGCTACAACCACCATCTATGCAGTTGAAGCTGATGGAGATCCAAATGGAGGGTTTGATAAATCAAAAGAACCTGGTGAGGTGCAGTACTTGATTAAATGGAAAGGTTGGTCCCACATCCATAATACTTGGGAAACTGAAGAAACCCTGAAGCAACAGAATGTTAGAGGAATGAAAAAGTTGGACAATTATAAGAAAAAGGACCAGGAAACAAAACGATGGTGAATATTGTCTATAGTAAAATTCTATTCTGAATATAGTATGGTAATGATATGTTCCCTATTTGTGCAAGAACATAACTGCAAAATGCTTATAAAATTTTGTCTTTTTAAAATTAGAAAAAGTACTTCAGTGCTCTTGATTCTCAGGTTCAGAGCATCTCTGGCTGTTCTTATTGAATGTTCAGTTCTATGCAGGAAGCTTATTAGCTTATATTTTACTTTTCAATTTTAGAACGAGTTTGTATGCATAGTTTAAAGGACAAGGTTTAAGCTTATCTTTATTCTTTACATGAATGTATGTATCCATTATAATTTGTAAATATTTTCTTACTGAAAATGTCGAGACTGTGCAACTGCACTAAAAAAGGCCAACGCTATGCTGGGGATTATTAGGAAGGGAACCGAAAACAAATCAGCCAGTATCATAATGCCCCTGTATAAATCAGTGGTGCGACCTCATTTGGAGTACTGTGTACAGTTCTGGTCACCACACCTCAAAAAGGATATTATAGCATTGGAAAAAGTGCAGAAAGGGCAACTAGAATGATAAAAAGGGTTAGAACACTTTCCCTATGAAGAAAGATTAAAGCGCTTGGGGCTCTTTAGCTTGGAGAAAGGACGGCTGAGGGGTGACATGATCGAGGTTTATAAGTATGCATGGGATAGAGCAGGTAAAGAAAGAAGTACTTTAAGTACTTTTCTCCCTTTCTCACAATACAAGAACTTGTGGGCGCTCAATTAAATTGCTGAGCAGTGGGGTTAGAACAGATAAAAGAAAGTATTTCTTCACCCGAAGGGTCATTAACACATGGAATTCACTGCCACAGGAGGTGGTGGCGGCTACAAGCATGGACGGCTTCAAGAAGGAATTAGATAAACATATGGAGCAGAGGTCCATCAGTGGCTATTAGTCACAAGGTATAGATAGGAACTCTTGGTGTGGGGCAAGTGATGCTATGTACTCTTGGTGCTTGGGCGGGGCAACAGTGGGAGGGCTTCTAATGTCCTGGCCCCACTGGTGGACCTCCTGATGGCACCTGGTATGACAGAGTGTTGGACTGGATGGGCCATTGGTCTGGACCAACATTGGCTTCTCTTATGTTCTTGTGTTCTAAATGTACATTATTATGGAAGGTTATTCAGTTGGTGTCTAACAGTTACTTTTCTTAAATCTCATGTCCATGAATATCTGTAGAACATTCAGGCACTTCAGTTAATCTGTACTTTTGATAGTTATTTTCGTAGAGCTAATAGACAAGACAAGAGGGGGAGCATGCATGGTTCAGCCTTCCTCATTGTATCCTTGCAGCAACTCTGTGAGGTAAATTAGGAGAGACAAGACGGGGACCCGCGATACTCGCAGGGGGGGGAGAGTTCCGTCTCCTCCACACACACCCTGCTCGATCTCTCCGAGGAGGCGGCGGCGAGACCGGTCCTCCCCCCCCGGCTCCGAGGCAGAGGCGGCGGCGGAGAGGCCGGTCCTTTCCCCCCCCCTTTGCCGGGCTCGGCGGCAACGAGGCCGAACCTCCCCCGCCCGCCCAGCTCTGAGGAGGCGGCGGTGGCGAGGCCAGCTACAGAGCGTTCCCTGCGCATCCGCAGGGGATGCTCTGTCACTTTCGGGGGGATTTAAACATCCCCCGAGATTTTTTTCAACTTTTTGGATTTTTGTGCACACATGGGGGGACAGCCCCACGTGTGCACAAACCTCCCCCTCCCCCCCCAAGTGCCCCCAGAGCGCGGATTTAGCGATCCGCACTCACGGGGGCAACTTGGCTATTAGTATATAGATGTAGAGCAAATGAAGTGAGATTAACTAGGAGTCTACATTATTTCTTCTCCCATTCCAAAAAAATTCTGGTAATAATTTGGGGTTAGCAGCATGCCACTGATTTTAGAGCATAATAAACTTTAACTGCCACTTTATATAACCCAGTATTTTACCTTGTTAACCACCAGCATTTAGTGATTCAGAGGGAAATTATTGATTTATGAAAAGTTTAATCTCCTGTCGCATTCTGCTTCTGAAAGTCAAATGGCCTAAGAAACTGACCATTGACATGTTCCTTGACATAGATGTATGTCTGTCCTGAAGCCAAAATTATGCACCATTGCTACCTGGACAATAACATAGAAATACCAGCATATCCAGAAACTTTAGGGACATAGAGCAGGGGTCACTCAGAGGTGGGGGGTGCATAGCTGTGAATTTCCTGCATTGTGTAGGGGGCTGGACTAGACGACCCTTGGGATCCTTTCCAGCTCTGTGTTTCTATATTGTTTCTATGTTTTCTACCCATACTTGACTACAGGCAGTCTGTGTTTTATCTATTTTCATTTTCAATCTGCTTTTCTTGCTTGGGACTCAAGGCAGATTACAAATACGACAAAACTGATCACTTGATCAGTAAGCCAATTACATCTAATGCTTCTGATGAAATCTACGAACTATTTAGCTCCTATGATAATATGATAGACATTGTTTGTAATTACTTCACAGGTTAAAAAATGCTTCTCCAGAAGATGTGGAATATTACAACTGTCAGCAAGAACTCACAGATGATTTACACAAGCAGTATCAAATAGTAGAGAGAATAATTGGTAGGTGGCAGATTTTGGAACGGATAATAATCAGACAGCATACCAGCATGGTCTGTTTATAGTTTCTTCATTGTTAATACACTGGAAGTTGTTTACAGTTTGTAACCCTTTTATAAATTTTTTAAAAATAATTTAATTTATTTCCAGAGAGGTAGTCATGTTAGTCTGTTGCAGTAAAGTTCAGCAAAAGTCCACTGGCATGTTACATACATGCTTTACCTAAAGTTTTAGCTATATGAATGGAATTGTAACAGTCCTAAATACGATGCATTTACCTGTACACTCACCATATTTAATTCTATAATGTTATTCTTAGAACATTTGACATTGCTGTAAACTTGAAAATTCATTAAAATTTGAATTAAAAAAAAAGTCCACTGGCACCTTAAAAATGAAGGGGGAAAAAACCCTTTTCTGGCATAAGCTTTTATGAGTCAGAGCTTTAGATATATGTAGATTAGCAGGACATATTCAGGAGTTCTTTAATATACAGTCTGTTCTCTTTGTCTTTAACAGATAATTTTCTTATAAAAGTTATATGTTTGAAGTAGGGAGTAGTTTGACTATTGCATTTTTCAAATTTATTCCACAGCCCATTCAAATCAGAAGTCAGCAGCAGGCTATCCAGATTATTATTGCAAGTGGCAGGGTCTCCCTTACTCAGAGTGCAGCTGGGAAGATGGTGCTCTTATTGCAAAAAAATTCCAATCATGCATTGATGAGTATTTTAGCAGAAATCAATCAAAGACTACACCTTTTAAAGACTGTAAGGTAAGTGCAGTTTCATTTTTTTAGCTTTATGAACATTGAGGCCAACTTCTCAAACAGGTGAAGAAGTAAATTTGTATCTAGATAGACTACACATGAATCAGCCTTTGATGACAATGTCCTTCCATCCCCCCCCCCAGTATTCTTGTACATAGAATAGTAGACTAGCTAGTCTAATGTCTCCCTGACGTTACTTTGTGTGTGTGTGTCGTGCTGTCAAGTCGCTTCCAACTCATGGCGACTCTTATGAATCAGTGCCCTCCAAAATGTCCTATTGTTAACAATCTTGCTCAGGTCTTGCAAACTAAGGGCCATGGCTTCCTTTATAGATTCAATCCATTATGTGTTGAGTCTTCTGCTTTTCCTACTGCCTTTTTGTGTGTAGGGATTTGTTTTTGTATGGAGACGCATTCATTCATTTCCCTATCTGCACCCTCAAATGGTACAGCTGACTCAGGTTTACTGCTTCATCTCTGAGAACTAGGTATGACGAACCCCTGTATCTTTCCAACTGTCTGGCAGATTTTTTCGGCCAAATCTTCAGTTTCCCTCAGTGACTGAGTTGCCCTACAGTAGTGTGTATATATTCTTTGTCAAAAAAGACTTGACTGCCCCACCCTTTTGTTTAGGTACTTAGTTTAGGCTTTTTCTTCGTTAGGGAACTCTACTGAAAATACAGGAGCTGTCCAGTTTTTTCTAACCCTTGAGAAATGGCACTTGAGGCAAATTAACTTTCAAAAACAGAATAAAGATTTTATTAAACAGGCATGGGAATATATGTATGATCAGAATAGTCAAGGTTTTGAGATTGCTGAGGTAAAAAGCCCCTTTCTAATATATTCTAATCATTCTAATTCTCATATATTCTAATAATTCAAGAGAGGTGTATTTGTAGTTCTGTTTCAAGGCTTTCTATTTCTTTCTTTGAGATGTACTTTGTTTAGTATAATTTAGCACTAACACAATTCTTATTGATGTTTCTAGATTTCTTCCTTCCTTTTTTCCTTTAGATATTACAGCTTTACGCAAAACTCTTGATGTCCCCATGGCTCTCTTCCCAACCCCTTTCACTGGCAGGAAGTTATTCTCATTGTCCCTAAGAAGCAGTAACTCCTTTTACTATTTGGCTTGTATGGGAATTCTCTCGTAACTACCCAGACCTTCTGCCAAATCCTTCTCCAGTATCCTTTGTCTATATAAGGTTGTTCTGTAGCTTTTCTGAGAATTTAAGTTCTCCCTCAGAGCAGCTTTAATATATTTAGACAATGGGGTTTCTCTTCGTCCCTCTGTAGAAGTACTTTTCTGACTATAACCTGTCAGAAAACACTAATTCCAAAATGTCTCTTCCTCAGAAGCCAAATCCTCTGTCTACTGATTCAGACGTTAGTTTTCAGATGACCAAAAGGCAAAAGACCAATTTGTGAAAGATGTATTTTCCCCTCCAGATCAGCTGTTTTATTTTCTCTCTCAGCTGATGCTGACCAATCAGAGAGCTAGTAGAGCAGCCAATCACCTGAGCTGTTCTCTCCAGGGAAGATTAACTCTTGAACTCCCTGACTCTCTGATACAAGCAGCATTTTTAAAAGTCTGCTTTTCTGTGTTATCCGTCACACTAGGCCATCGGTAACACAGATATAAAATTTAAGAGTTACAGTAATTTTAAAAGGGCTTTTGGAAGCATCAGAATCTTCAGAGTTGGTCATTGATTATTGTAGATTCATTTTTATGTTAGTAATAGTAATTTAATTGTTTTTCTTTGTCATTGAAATTACAGTTAGCAGTAGAACTAACACTGCTTTCCCCTTTTACCAGGTTTTAAAGCAGAGGCCAAGATTTGTTGCTCTAAAGAAGCAACCCTCTTATATTGGAGGAAATGAGGGTTTAGAGCTAAGAGATTATCAGCTAAATGGGCTGAACTGGTTGGCTCACTCCTGGTGCAAGTACGTACAGAAGACCATACCAATTACAGTATTAAAAGAACTAGATATACCTATCAACACTTTCTGTGAAAGAAACCTATGAATTATATTATGAAAAATATATGATTTTCAATAGTAAGAGACAGTGCTTTATGTATATCCACTGCAAGCTGTATAGAACTTAAAAAATCAACACCAGTGCTTTGAAGTAAATGTAAAAAATGAATTGTAACCCTGTGACATTGAATTAAATAATATAATATACTTAAAGTATGCAGCATGTTCTGAAGTTTTTATGAAATTTTAAAATGCAGTCCCACACAGCACATTTCTAAGGACCACTCTGTAAGTTATCAGGGCATGTGTAACTGTGGTTAGGTCGGACTTCTGTAGATCGGCCACAAGTTGGTATACCAGCCCAAGTCTGACTGTTGTGTGTGAACTTATTTATATCACTTTTATTTATATATGTGGTGTTTATATGTTTTATTCATCCATTTTGCAGAGGGAACAGTTGTATTCTTGCAGATGAAATGGGCCTGGGCAAAACAATACAGACTATCTCTTTTCTGAATTACTTGTTTCACGAGCATCAGTTGTATGGCCCTTTCTTGCTGGTAGTACCACTTTCCACTTTGACATCTTGGCAAAGAGAAATCCAGACGTGGGCTCCTCAAATGAATGCGGTAGTTTATTTAGGAGATATTACTAGCAGAAATGTGGTAAGTACTTCTGTGTGTTATATGAAACATTAAGACTAAAAATAATGTGTGTATACTTGATGTTCTTGATAAGTGCTCTGAATTGGTAGCATAGAGAAACAGTGCTGGAAGAATTTATGCACATTTTAGATTAATTTAAAATATTGTAATGGGCTAGTTTGATCTTTTTATTTTTGTTACTACTTTAAGTTGTAATTGTTTTATCAAAGGAAGTTGGCAGAGTATAGTTAGTATTTCCTAGTATTTTTGTATTTGGTTGACTAAGAAAAAAAATCTAAATGTGCAGCTGAAATACTACGGACAATCTATAAGGAGAAAAGGGTGACCAAAGGAATGGAAGAAGCCATGCATGCATGGTGTATATTGCCTGTACCCAAAGCCAGTCTAGTCCCTTTTCTCTCATAGACTCTTCAGGGAACAAGCAAACCTGTGTTGGGTAAAAGGAGGGTAATTTAATTGGAGTAGCCATGATTGTTGTTATAAAACAAATCTGAACTCCAGTTGCATCGTAAAAGACTAACAACATTTATTCCAGTATGAGGTTTTGTGAGACAGCTCACTTTGTCAGATACAAAGGAGAAAGAAACCCTTTTATCTGAGTTATACAAAAGGGGATGGGAAAAGAGGTAGGAATTGAGCAGAGATACCCTTTGCCTTTTGTGCAGTTTCAAATGGACTGTACATTGAAAATGCAGTACAGCACTAAGGGCAGTTGCACCTCTTACATACGTCACTGTCACATTGTTGAGCACTTAATTACATAACCATGTATGCATGCTAATATTCAGCAGCTGAAGATACCAGATATATTAGGCACTGTATAGAAATATTTGTAAACTCCATAATCCTATATCCCATAAACTTTATTTGTAGATCAGAACACATGAATGGATGCATCTACAAACAAAACGATTGAAATTTAATATCCTTCTGACAACCTATGAAATACTGCTGAAGGATAAAGTAAGTAAGCTGACTGCCAGTCACTTCCAAAGGTTAAAGGACAGTGTTGAAACGTATCAATGCTGCTGCTTTCAGTGAAAATATCTGAATTATATTACGAAAAAATATTATTTTTCAATAGGGTTTTTTTTCGTATGGAAGGGGATAGAAAGCTTGTAATAGTTTAAGGACCGAGCAAAGCAGACCCATAATTGGATCTTCTCAGTATGTTGGAAAGTTAATAGCTGCTGCTAATAGTAGGACCTAATTTAAATTGTGGGTGTGGTGGGGAGAGAGGTAAGGATGCTTCGTTGTTTTGCTGTTTGAAACATTTTCCACGCTCCCCCATTCTCTACTATTAGCCATGAAGGGGGTGGTGGACAAGATAGGCAGAAATGATGCCTCCGTCCCCTTTCCATGGCTTGCTGGGTATATGGGCTGGTGTCAGTTTCACTTTAGCCCTGATCCAAGTTGGTGAATGCCCTGTCAGCTATTACTCTTTTAGAATGCTTGGAAGATCGTAGATCTCCCAGTGTTTTGATTCTAAATGTTAATGCTTCTGCAAAATAACTTGATTTAAAGTTTGCTTTGAAGCAGAGTGTCATTAATGTGTTCATTTGTTTTCAAAAGTCATTCCTTGGTGGTCTGAATTGGGCATTTATAGGAGTGGATGAAGCCCATCGATTAAAAAATGATGATTCCCTCCTGTACAAGACATTGATAGACTTCAAATCGAATCATCGACTCCTTATTACTGGTACTCCTCTGCAAAACTCCCTGAAAGAGCTTTGGTCCTTACTGCACTTCATCATGCCAGAAAAGTAAGTAAATCTAATAAGGCTAAACACTAAATGTGTCTTGTTATGTAGGAAAAAACTCCCCGCTAGATGGGCACGAACTGGGGAAATGGAGGTTTGTCCTGGTTTGTGACGTCCCATAAACTGGGACAAACCACCCCCACACTGCGAACCAGCTTGGTTTGTGAGGTTTGTGGATCTTCCTTTCTGCCGGCAGCAGCTCCCCGAGGCCAGCAGAATTGGAAGGGAAGGGGGATCTTGCAAAAAACATTTAAAGTGAATTTTCCCTTTAAATGGCTTCTTCCCCCCCCCCACTTAAATGCCTTCCCAGTTCATTTGCGAGTTGTGCTGCTACTGTGCGGCTTGTAAAAATGATTTAAAGGGATCCTTTAAATTAGTTTTGCAAGCGCCTTGGAGAAGGCATTTAAAGCGACCTTCTCCAAGCCCCACCCCTGGCGCCAGCAAGTCTCTCAACACGAAGTGCACGAATTGAGGTTCGTAGACCACGAACTGGGCCCATCCCTGCTTCCCAATTACTAGGAAGAATCATAGGTTCATCATCATGTGCCTGTGCAGTCCCGCATGGCTTACTGTGCACAATGCAGACCTGCTGCAGAGATTTTGAAGCTTAAAAACTCTAGCAGGTGTTCCTTCCCCCCTACTCCATGCTGCTTTCCTGCCGTTTCCAGTGTTAAAGGAGTCAGTTCCCTCTCAGCTGCTGTGGAGAGAACTTCTTCCTTTGGAAGCTCTTTATAAGGAAAAATGCAGCTTTTCAGCTTTCTTTAGCCTTGGGCAGACCATTTTTACTACAAAAGCGAATTAAGAGCAAGCAGCCTCAAACAACATGCCCTAGAAAACTCTCTTTAAAAAAAATGTATATCTTGAGGATTTAAAATTCCCCATAAGGATGAACACATTTTGTGTCTGTTATGCCTCAGTGAAGAGCACATGTCTCAA